AGTATTGTCTTGTAAATCAGTAACTTGTTTTCAATGGAAAGTTTAGATTTTCTGTTTAGTAGTCGGTATTGTTGGCCGTATCGTCGGTTTAGTTCCTGTCTTTTAAGTCTAGTATGAGGGTTCCACGTTAATCATCGGTCTAAGACAAAGCCAAGGTACCGGACTGTATCTGAGAAAGGAAGCTGGATGATGTTAATTGGTGGACAGGATTTACTACAAAGAGTGAAGGTTATGTGTTTACATTTGGATTCGTTTATCTTAATGCACCATTTCTTACACCAGTGTTAAATCAGGGAGAGGTGCATTTGTAGGTTTAATGACGCTGTTTTAGAATCTGAGTTGGTTGAAAGGAAAGCGGTATCATCAGCGAATGTTGCCAGGAGAGTATCAGGATGGGCAGGAATATCTGCGGTGAAAAGGATGTAAAGGATGGGACCCAAGACGCTGCTCTTTGGAACTCCCGCCTCAATTAAATGACAGTTGGAGAATCCAGTACCACAGCGAAATTGAAAGGAGCGGTCAGAAAGGTAGGATCGGAGTATTAGATTTAAGGACTGTGGTAGATAGAATTTAAACTTGAAGAGAAGGCCAGCCGGTAAAAAGCCTGTGCTATGTCCAGAAATGCACCCGAACAGTATTGCTTCTTTTCTAGGATTGAGGATATATGGTCGACAATTCGGAGTCCTTGTAGGACAGTGGAATGTTGGGAATGAAATCCAAATTGATGGGTAGAAATTTTATGGGATTCTATTATGGGTAGGATTCTTTTCAGTAGGATCTTTTCAAAATTTTTTTATAGGATTGGGATTAGGCTAATTGCTCAATAGAATGATGTATTGTTGGCAGGTTTGCCTGGTTTCAGGAAATGGACGATGGTGGAATGTTTCCATAGGAGAGGAAAGTGGGTAGTTCTTAAGATGCAATTATAAATATATGTAATTATTATGAATGCTTTGGGTGGAAGTTGTCGAAGGACCTTTGGGGTTAGGAGGTCATATCCAGGAGATTTACGGAGAGGAAGTTTTTGTAAGTGATGTTTGACCTCAGATGGGTTAACTGATCTAGGCGGTAAGGAGAGTGGAATCAGTGAAGAGAGGAATTCATCTACTTTTGCGGTATGGGTTGGATGGGATTCTGGATGAGGAGTGAATGTACTGGAGAGGTCTCTGGCGAATTCTTTAGCTTTGTCTTCATCAGACGCTGACCCGGAGTCATCACATCGACGAAGGGGGTGGGAAATGTAATGGGATTTTAGGATGTTTTTGGTGGTTTTCCAGAGGGAGTTGTCGTGAACAGAGAGCAAAGTAAGGTAGTAATCAAAGAATCCCAATCCTGCTTTAGTAGTTTACAATAATAATTGTAGGAGCGGCGATCGATGGGGTGTTTGGTACGGTGGCATAATGATCTGGCCGGCGTTTGGTGGGTATTAGGTCTATGAGGTGTTGGGGTAAACTATTTTTCTTAGGGGTTCTTAAGGAATGATTTGGAGAGGAAGCTGTCCACACTGCTTGTTGAATGGTGGTGTTGAAGAAATGTACGGCATTGTCAAGGTCTTCTGAGGGTTTCAAAATTAATCTGAGGTCAATTTTATCCGAAATGATTTGATGAAAGAGTTTCCAGTTAACTGGGCCTCTGATGAAGGACGGTGGAGAGGGTTTAGGAATAGGAGCTAGAGATACTTGGAGTACTAATGGACTATGATCTGAGGAAAGTTCGTCAAGTCGGGCAAAGGAATGATTGAGGGGACGTAAACCACTGTGAATAAAAAAATCGAAAGGATTGCAGTTAGGATCAGTTGGCCAGTAGCTAGGTGAGTTGGGAGGAAGAAGGTTGAAACTTTAGGAATTGAGTGCAGACAGCAAGGATCTACCACGAGAATTCGTGGTTCTTGAACCCTATTCTTGATGCTTGGCGTTTAAGTCTGCACCCAGGATGAAGTGATGTCGTAAGGAGTTCAGGAAAGAACTGAACTGGTCATTGGATATGGATCTGTTAGGAGGGCAATATGCTGATGCTACGGTGACGGGAAAGGAGAAGGTTTTTATTTGTGTTTATTTATTTTATTACAATAGCGGTTGACTGTAGGAAATCTTGAGTAGGTAATGTGAGTAGGTGATGGGACAGGGATCGGTGTACAATGACACCAGTGCCGCCATGTGCTCTACCCTCAGGATGGTCAGTGCGATATGTCAAGTATTGCGGTATTTTGAAGAGTTGTTTAGTGGTTAGTCGAGTTTCAGTAATCAGTGCTCATCAATGTTCTTGTCAAGTAGTGAAGTAGATAGTTCGTCTGTATGATTTCTAACACCATTCGCTTTCCAAAGGAGAATGGTTATGGGTTTTGGGATGTGAGTCATTTAATGATTCCTTAAAGGAGGGATGGGGTGAGATACGAAATTTGTGAGGAGTGATATGGGTAGAGTAACAAGGGATTTGGAATCGTTGAGGAAAGATGCTAACAAACTGGTGAGATTGCATTTGAGGGATGACGAATATGATGAATTTTTTGTTGATGGTTAGGTATATTAGGATGAAGAGGATTCTGAGTTGGGGTTAAGAGTGTTGTTGTGGCAGGGCTTGACATTTATCGGTTGAGTTATTATCTATAAGTAGTTGGGACTTGCAGCCCAATAAAGGTTCACCAATTTTGAACAATTTGTAACGTCAGAAGAGAAGTTCTGCCTTACTTCTTCAATACAAAGACATTCATATAACATGTCTTACTAATTATGTGCTGCATAATGAACTGCGTGGGTCATCTCGTACTCCAATCCTCTGGAAGTGAACATTTTAATAGTCATTGCCAGCTATTGATCGGAAAGCGGCAACCGACTCGTGCCAGAGAAGATCCCATAGTTTTCCTTCTGCGCACGTTTGGTAAAATTGCTGCTTTTTGTCTTTTAGGACTATGCATCTTAATGCATCTTTTAGCATCAGAAGATTTAGTTGCTGAGGGAGGCATGACCACGTAGGAGTCTGGTTCACTAAGGCATCAGCTTTTTCATTACCTGCGATGGGATCAATTGCAGAACTACGATTGACCCCCTGATTAGATATTCTTCCAAGAGTCGTCGTCCTTCCAGAATATCGTGGGAATTAGTTTGGCCATTGGTTCTTATACTTATAATGGAAGTTTGCTAGTCACAGAGAATTACTGCTCTAGTTCACTTTATAGACATTATCATTTTAAGAGCCATCAACACAGCACTGGTTTCTCCATTAATTTTATTGGTCAGGCAACCAACATGTATGCCAAGAGATTGAAGCTCCGAGTGCACACCCGCTCCTCCGGTTCCTCTCGCTTCAGTGGCTGACACATTGGTGCACTCCCGCAATCATTCTTCTTCCGGAAATGTGTGAATATGTGAATTCCGGAAATGTGTGAAGTCTCCAATGTGATAGCCTCGAGTTCAGTGGGAGATGTGTTTTGTTTGGAGACAGGTGATATCAAAGTTGTATGTTAATCAGCAGTGCGACGTGGAATCATCTCCTGAGTGATGGGAACGGTTCGGCGTCCTGGGGTACATCCTCAGGCCATAATCGTTTCTTAATCATTCGACTTTGGTGAGGAACGAGGTTTGAGTGACCAGTCGGCCAGTAGCAGGCGTATAGGTTTGCCAGTACTCAATCTTTTTCCGCCGAAGAAGTTCGCTCAAGGTTAGAGCAGCCAATTCACGTGTGTAATGCTGTGGTTCGATTCCAGCCTGTATCTCCGTTGCTGCAATAGCCACATACTTTGCACCACCTGTTGTAGTTCTGAGTGCATTATTATGTATTACATCAACTTTTTTTACGGTGTTTCTTACAAAAACAATTTTTATGGATGTATCAAGTCGTATCAACAGAATTAAGTCAAGGTTGTATGTGTGGTAGTCAAATATGCACAAGGAGTTGGAACATATTGTACTATAATGTTATGTGAGTCATGTAAATAAGTACAACCATCCAAAAGTAACTTCAGTACCATGTAAATGTCCAGAAAAACCCTGTTATGGAAAGATTTGAATAGACAAAAAGCCTTAAACGGATAAAAGTACTAAGACATGGAGGAAACAAGTAATAATTAACTGCTTACAGATACGGATCAGTCTATTTCTCGTGATACGGAAGAGAGGTAATTACCTCTAAAACTTAACTAAGTTGCCCCGGACATCTAGCTCGAAAAAATACTTTCATTATCCTATTTAAATTACGAATGCCGCAATAGTTGGCAAGAGAGCACGCTGTTGACCAAAAAATAGATGGATAGATAGAATCAACAATGATGCTGCAGAATTTAGAGAGGAGAAAAAAGCTGATTAAAACGGTTAAAGATCTGTTAGGTCAGTAAAACGAACAGGAGGAACAAAAAACCTATGATTCATGATCATATAAAATCATTGGGTTGATTCAATACCTTATGCTTGTCGAGAAATTATTTCAACTCAAGTTCACTTCCATTCCGACAAAAACTGAAGTTATTATAGAATCCGATTTGAAATATTTATGTAATTATGGTAGATTAAGTTTTGGTAAATTCTATTGTTTCCAATTTTCTAACATTTACGAATTCATCGGACTATAGCGAAATGAAAGTATTTCCTTACTTAGTTAATTTTTAATGAGATACTGTAATGAAATTAAAAAATAGAACCATTACTAAATTTTAATAAAGAAGGATATAAATATGTAAATAATTTAATCATATGATACATTGGATACACATTTTAATTATTGGTAGATTTATAAATAAATTTGATGTTTCAAGATACTATTTATTCATATGTTCATTAGATGTTAAGAACGGAGTTTTTTTTTCCGGAGTTCACAATATCAATGAAAATAAAGACTTTTTATGGGTGGATTTCATTTAAAATTTTCTTTGATTAGTTAAATTTGAAATTCGTAAGTACAGGAGAAGTCGTCACGAGATTAGTTGTGGTGCCTGACACCAGGTTCCAGCACAGGAGGTTAGTAGTTCTCTTCCAGCCATCAGCTGTTTCGTCATCAGATGACTGTATCGATCACTGAGCTCAATCGAGTCCCGGAGGGAGTTAAAAACAGTTATAAAGTGTCCTCTCTTGCAGTCTCTTCTCTGCTCTCGTTTCATACGGAGCTCAGCTGAAGAGATTTTGTACCTTGACTGTTAAGGGATATATTTCTGATAACACAACCATGGTTGTAGTTGTTAATTCGCACCGAAAAGCATTGTGGGACTGGTAATCATATTATAAATTTTTATCATTATCATCGGCTCTCTGATATTGTGATAATGTGGTGTTTTCGTTTAAAAAGTTCGAATAGCCCCCATATGGGGCATGTCAGCTGCATCATCAAGTGAAATATTGCCTCTCCAGTTATTGTACTATAGTCTTATCACAAATGTTCAGTGGAACTGTACGTGTGAAGATATGCGAAGCTTGCGGGTTAAGACCCACAGATTTTCAAAAGAGGCATAACATGATGACTTTTGGTAAACTTGAAGACCAACTGATAGATCCCTATGTCTCTATAGATGTTGATGAAAATCATTTGGACAGATCTTCCACCAAGGCTAAAACATTTGATCCTGTTTGGAATGAATGTTTTGTACATGATGTCCAATATGCTGATAACCTGGGTTTGACAGTATTTCATAAAACTGCCATCCCTCCTGATGATTTTGTTGCCAATTGCTGTATACCTTTTCAAGAACTTCTGCAAAGAGATAAAGATTCTACTGATTTCTGGGTAAGAATTATATTCTAAGATTTTGTGATATTTGAATGAGATTCTAAGATTCAGTGAGATACCTCTGTTTGCGATTTAATTGTAGCTTTGAATTGCGGTAGTGTATTTCAAGTATCCAAAATCTACTTTTCTCACGAAAACTGCTCATTTCATTATTAACTACTCTATCTGTTAGTTTTTGTGAACTCCTGTAGTTAATGATAATATGAGCCATATCGTCAAATATTGTAATAACTGATATGCCATTCGCAAAATCTCTATGCTATTATCCTTCAGGATATTAGTCCATTTATATTAAACCTGATCGCGTCCTATATTACTCACCAAATTTCTTGAAATTTTCATTAATGCCAGTTTACATTCAAAGTTTCATTTAGTTTAATACTCCATTCTTAGTAATTGGCTATTTGAAATTGTTTATTAGATAAGTTTTCTGTTTAAATTAGTTTTCGGTTTTGAGGAGTTTGGTGCAATTACTGTTTTTTTACATTGTATAATACAATTTGTTTATCATATCTCTTAACTTATCACTTTTGTAAATATTTCATAGCTAAATGTAACTTCTCGTTTAATTGTTATTCCGTGTTGTTTAATGGATTAGCCTTATCGATATCACCAACCATAAATGGATGTTTAGGATCTTGTCTGCTTTTTTTACTTGCTTCCGCAATTCCACAAAGTATTGAATCTAGTGAATCATTTAAATTGTATGTGTAAAGTTTATTTTAAACCTAATTATCATTTATTTCCTTAAGTTTTTTCTTTAAAATCATCTTCAAAATCCTAATGGTTCGAATTTCACTTTCCACATTATATTATAAACATCAGTTATAATACTTACTTTATTATTTTAGAGTATAATTATCTATTCGCAGAGCCAGTTATTAAGTAAAATCTTCCTAACATGTTAAATAACATGGATTTTAAAATAACTGTATCATCACACTTAACAGTTATTCAATGAAGCATAGTAATTAAGTAATTAATTAAGTTTTCTATTCTGTGATATACATTTTATTTCTTTATACTTAATGTCTTATTATACAAAAAATATGTTAACCCTTTTTTTATTTATAATTTTGTATTATCCGTTGCTTTTTTTGTGTGGATTTGATTGCTTATTTTTGTTTCTGTATCAATTAAGTTTCATTAATATATGGTTCAGAAAGAAAACATGGAAAAACAAGCTTTGGTTAATGTTAAATGTTAGTTTATTTATTATCAATTATTAAAAAGGTCTTTGTGGGTGTTCTTTAATTTCTTTCATGTATTATTTATTTTAACTTTTATCAAACATTGTTTCTATCCAAGACTTTCATTAGCATTTGATTTAGCTACTTTATTCGACTTTTCAGTAATTTTATAAAATGGTAGTATGAAAAATATAGGTAAATAACTTGGTTATTAATGACATCATTGTCCTTTGAACTATTTGTATGAGTACCAAATGATTTTTTGTTGTTCAAAACAAATACTGGTGTTGCTAGTATTAAACATACTAAAAAAATTAGTTGGATATATATATGTATATGTATACATATATGTATACACAACTGCTATTTTATAAAATGTTATTTTAATAAAAATACTTTTGTCAAAATAATTAAAAATTATTTTTCAGTTTACTTGTTGGAAATAATCTTCATCACACAGTACATCACAATTACTAGTACCTGTGCTGATTAGATAATTTTAAAAGTTAGCGTTGTTTAGAATCATGTAATAATTTATTTTTTTCTTGATGTATATACATGTAATATTTATTTTGGAGTATGTACATATTAGCTTTGAACACTCTCATTAAGCCTTCAATTCTTAAAAATAACCGAGACTTTTGTTTGTAATTTGTCATAAATTTTATTAATGCCACCAGTATTTAAATACCATTTTATGAAATAATATTTTCAAAATCAAAAATTTTGTTCACATACTATTTATAGTTAGTAGGCAATGATTAATGATCACATCATAATTTAACATATTAGTAAGTATATTAATATTATAAAATAATAAGAAACAAAAACATCTTAAACTTCTTAGCCTTGGGACACTTCAAGCCTCTCCTGGACGGAGAGCTAAAGAGGACTCTAGTCGATCTGTCCTCCTATACCTCAATCATTTGTATAATATCTTGCAGAGATTGAGTAATGGCGAAATATAATATTTATGTTAGCAAATATACTTTGTATTCAATTTGTGATGTGAATTGTTAAGTTACTTCAAATAAAGATTGGCATCTACATTGTGGTGATTTGCATTTAATGCTTCTAATCTTTATGAAGATTGAAGGTACTTGTTATACGCTATATTTTCATTCAACCATCGGCAAGTTTCAGCACCCAACCTTTTAAAATTGATTATTGGCTCTAAATGCTGGAAGAAAGTTGGGCTTTAAAAATATTTAAATTTTATATAAACTAGTTTTTATTTTGTCATGAATTATCTATTCACTATTATTATTTACTTAGTCCCAGAATAAAGTTTAATTTTCTATTTCTATCTATTATTTGCGATATTGAGTATCTATAACCCTCTTTTATTTGGCAACATGTGCTGGCTAGTTTCTGGTACTTTTCCAGTTATATTTTTTTAAGCATAGATATTTAACAGAATAGGCTCACTAAAAATATCTGTTAATGAGGGAATAAATTATTTTGTAGTTAATTCATAATATTTGATAAATATATATTGATGGAGCACAAGCTTAATTTTTATTTAAGCTTTTCCTTCAAGTCACTACATTGCACTAAGCCTGTTGTGTATTGTCCTACAATGTATACATTTTTCAATTACTTTATGATGTTATAGATTCGCTAAGTTTGGAATCAATGATACAGCCAAGTTTGAGACATCATGTCAGGAGTTGGTAATGGTTTTGGTGTATGGAAGACGGGGGGAGGGGGGGGGGCATTTAAAATGGAAAATTAAAAAAATGATATTAGTTTACATTAAATATAACAAATTATTTTCTAAAATAAAGGAACTTTTAAGGCCTGTAGTAAAAATACCTGAAGTGAATGATTTTACATGAATGAGACAGACCAATTGTTTTATTACTCAATAGGAGGAAACCAATAACAAAAAAAACTTTTCATTCTAAATACTCACTATTATAAAATACGTTACGCCTTATCAATTGGGTTTCATTTTTCAAATGGAGATTATACTACGAGATAAAAATACAATGTATTGTTTGCCGATATTTTGGTTTGGTAATTTTTCCCTGAAATGGCTAACGCTTGATTTAATTCGCAATATATCCTCTTTAAAATTGTCTGAATGGGTTTAAATCCCGCTTTTTCATAATGGCTTCCTTTTAAGTACTTTTAATTTTGCATAATTGAAATATTTAATCGTCATTTTAGATTGTTAGTAAGCGAGCGGAGGTGCTTAGTGAGTTAAGCACTGTGTTCCGGGTTCCGTCAACGAGTCTGGCTGTAGAACATAGTTATTTATTCCGTTTTATTAACCATGAATTGAACCTAGGGTCGGGAGACCCTCCTGAGGCACACTTAGTTTCTGTAACTAATTAAGAGGAAACATCTGAACATTGAGCGTGATCTCAGTTAAATCACATCCGCTGAACAAGAAATAGTACTTGTTTACGAAGTACTGAAACCCAGACCCTCCATGGGTTGTATTAGTATAGGTTTTTTCCACTCATAGACTAAGTGCTAACGACCATTTCATTTAACGGAAGGACCTAAAGCTAGTAACCGTATTAAATGCTAAATAAACCTCATCTGAACACACAACTTTGGTCAGTTTGAAAGCCGTTGCAAAAAAGTTAAATTAAAGAGACGAAATTTGACGGTTCATTTAACAGGACAGGCGGCTGAAATTTTGATATATCACAGAATGAACAGAATGTGTCCCTAAAAGAGAATTCACCTTACCTGACGATGTATCTTTTATTATTGTTATAGATGTTGAAGTATCTCATGCCAACAGAATGTATACAAGCTATGTAATTTGTTAATACATTCTAGTTCTGTTATAAATTTAGTTAAATTATCCGAATCAAAAGTATTGAAAAGATAAAATGGACTTAAGTTGAGAGCGGCAGAAACTACGAGTGAAATACGCATTCGATTACATGCACTTTAACAGCCGCTTAATCCTCTCATGTATTAACGTTTCTACACGAGGTACATAGGAAATTAAATGCTCTTTCAAATCGATTCTAATGAATTTTTTCGAGAGATGCATTAATTATGCGTTTTTTTGAAAAAAAACTCAACGAAAACAGATATTTCTTATGAAACATGCCAACAGTTAACATTCTCTAACTCCTCACCCATTGGGCCTGGTTCAAAAAGCTATTTATGAAATTGATAGTAAATTTTATCTTTGTTAACTTTGTGTATAATAATAATGTCGATAAAATGCATTCTTTCTGAGTCATGTCCAAAAAACAAAAAAATAGGTTTAGGTATCTAGGACCAACGATAACTAAAAGAAACAAAATTAAAGAGGAGATTCAGATTAGGTTGAAGGCGGGAAATGCTTGTTATTTTTCGGTAACAAATCTACTTACTTTGCGCAATGTCCCGAAACTTACAAATTATAATTTAAAGAACAATTATCCTACCTACGGATCTTTATGGATGCGAAACATGGCCATAAAGTGTTTAATTAAGTTTTTCTTAGAATATTTTGATTGAAGAACGATGAGTCAACCGGAGAATTTAGACGGTTGCACCGTGTGAACTGAATCGGTTAATGTAATCGATGTGATTACATAGGGTGTCCAGCGACCGGCAATTTCTCGAAAACCGGGAATTGTACTGAATTTTCTCAAAACGGGAAATGTACGGGAAGTTAAAAAAAAATCGCGATTTTTTAAAATATTTTTACTGTACATCTTTTGTGACAACATAAATGTTTCTTTTCTAGAATTCCTTCCTCCCTCTCCAAAAAAAAAGATCAACTTTAATAATATTGTATGTTTCTGATGAAGATACATATCCCGAAACATCTAACCAATATAATTATATTAT